CCCCCTCAGAGCCGCAAAGGCCCCGTTTTGCCCTCAGAGCCGCAAAGGCCCCGCATTCCCCTCCCCCTCCCCACCCGCACTCACTGCGTGGCGGCGCAGCGGGACATGCTGAGGCGGAGGCTGTGACAATCCGTCTGCCACGAAGTCGGGCTGGCGGCCACGCAGCGCCCGTACTGCTCCATCTCGTTGCGGCAGTACCGCGCCGTGATCTCCAGGGCCGCCTGCCTGTGAGGCGACACCGAATGAGCGCGGCCCGGCCCGGCCCGCTTCCCCCCTCCATGTCCCCTACTCACATCGCTCCGCCGCCGCTCTGCGCATGCGCGGACCTAGCATCACCGCACTACGCATGCGCAGGCCCAGCACTACGCATGCGTGATTTTCTGCATCGCCCCAACTCGCTCGCGCGAGCTCAGTACTGCGCATGCGCAAAGGCCAGCACCTCGGCACTGCGCATGCGGAGCCTCCTGTGTCCCCGCATCACGCATGCGCAAGCACCAGCACCACGCCATCCGCTCACTACGCATGCGCAACCGCTAGCACCGGGGCACCGTGCATGCATTACTTCCCGCATCTCCTCACTGCGCGTGCGCAAAATTCCCGAGCGCTGCCGTGGCTTTCTTTGGCGCACGCGCAGTCTTTGCCCCCTCCCCTCCAGCCTCACGCGCTCTCGCGTTGCCTGCTGCGCAAGCGGGGCTTCTCCCTACCGGAAGCGGAAGTGCGCCGTCTGCAGGCGGTCCCTGGGAAGATGGCGGCGGCCGGCCCGGCTCCGGGCCCCGCGGACGAGCTGGTCTCGTCGGTGACGCTGTACCGCCGGCGGCCGCGGCTCCTCCACGGCACCGTGCTGCCCTTCGTGGCGGGGCTCTACCCGGCCTGGTTGTGGCTGTGGGGGCCGCGGGTGTGGGCAGCGTGGGGGAAAGCGGCGGCGGCGGAGGAGGAAGCGCAGGGCCCGGGCCCGGCTTCCCCTGAGGCCGCGCTGTTGGCGTTGGCCGCTATCGGCGTCCTTCATCTGCTGACGGCGCTCTCGGGGCTGTGGTCGGTGCACGCGCATTGCGCGCTCACGTGCGTTCGGGTGAGTTGGGAGGGGTGTGAGGGGGGAGGGCAAGGCGGTGATGCTCCGAGCCTGGAGGAGCCCGAGGACGGGCGTGGGGCGGTGTGAGGGGGGGCCTTTGGGTCCTTCCAACCCAACCGTGCTGTGATTCTGCGCTTTGAGGGTCTTTAAGGACCCTTCCAACCCATTCCATGGTTCTGTGATCTTTAAGGACCTTCCCAACCCATTCCATAGTTCTGTGGTCTTTAAGGACCCTTCCAACCCATTATGTGGCTCTGTGGTCTTTAAGGACCTTCCCAACCCATTCCATGGCTCTGTGATCTTCAAGGACCCTTCCAACCCAAGCTGTTCCACTCTTCTGTGTTCCATCTGTTGCTGAGGGACCACTGTTTGTCTGTTCTGCTGTAGCCCCATTTTACTGCCCCGTGTGTCCTGACCGCAGATCAAGTATTGAGTGCAGCTCCTTTGTTGGCAGGTTCCATTTTGAGGATGGATTCTCACAATCCTCACCTCAGCTCTGCAAAATAAAGCACCAAAAGACAAAGATTGCTTTGTTCTGCATGTCTTGGTGTGATCCAGCAGGGTTTCCTTCGGCTTCTCACAGAAATCGGGGCTCTGTGATCTGCTTTGTGACGTGCTTGTGCTGTGTTTCAGGAACCCAGCCCTAAGAAAGCCACACTGGCTAAAGTTGTGCCAACCCCCAATAACGGATCTGTAGAACTGGTGCCACTCCACAGAGACCAGGTGAGGCAGAGATGCAGAGCTGCTGTTCCTTTGCTCCTGGCTTAACTGGTTTGGGAAATGTCAGCTGTAGTCGGTCGCTACGGGGATGTCAAAGATCAAAGGCAGAATCCCGCAGCAGTGAAGAGACAAAGAGGGGTTGGGGTTTCTGTTCTTTCTGGTACGCCTCCAGTAGCTGTTTTTGTTCTCTTTCTGCAGGATGAGGACGGGCAGGAGGCTCTCTCCTTTGAGTTTCAGAAAATCAAATACTCCTATGAGATAAACGGCAAGAAGCAGTTTCTTCCCGTCGCTTTCCCCGTGGAGCATCCGCTGTGTTATTACCAGAACGCCCGGGGCTATCAGGAGGACAAAGATATCCGAGCAGCTGAGAAGAAATATGGCACAAATAAGTAAGTTTTCCATGCACAGATCTCTTTTTCGGAATGAGAGGATAGGAAATGATCCCAAAGCGTCGGTCGCATAGCTGTGCTCTCAAATGTTTCCTCCTTGCCTTTGCTTGGCAGCTGTCAGGTTTGTCTTAAAGGCAGAGAACGGGAGATGGAAAGTAATTAAGTGCAGGGAATAATGGAAAGGAAATGGTGGGTCTCTGGGTGTTGTGAGGCAGGGGCTGCGGGTGGCTCTGGGTCGGGCTTTTGTTGAGAGCACAAAACTTTTAGGTTAATAGGTGCAATTAGTATTAATTTTTTGTTTCCCCAGGGCTGAGATGGTGGTGCCGGAATTCTTGGAGCTTTTTAAAGAAAGAGCTACAGCGCCGTTCTTCGTCTTCCAGGTAAAGCAGACAGACAGAAGGAGCTGCAAATGCTTTGTTCTGCCACCAAAGGAGAGAATTCCTCGCAGGTTTGGGTGGCAGAATCACTTCTCTTAAATCTGAAGCTGTTCTCACCCTGTGACATTGATTTATGTCACTGCTGTGGGAGCCATCTCCTTTCTGCCTAACGAGTTCCCGCGATCTGCTGTGGTTTTTCTCAGCTTCATGCAACCAAATGCATTCTCAGTTACGTGAGAAAGATGCCTGGAAATGGAAGGCTTTGGCTTTCTGAGCGAGACGAGAGCAATTTGTGTGCTGTGTTCTCCCTGCAGGTGTTCTGCGTGGGTCTGTGGTGCCTGGATGAGTATTGGTACTACAGCGTCTTCACTCTCTCCATGTTGGTGGCGTTCGAAGCTTCCCTGGTCCAGCAGCAAATGAGGAACATGTCGGAGATCCGAAAAATGGGCAACAAGCCCTACATGATCCAGGTAACCCTGGTAATGAACAGGAGCCCACAGTGTGCCCAGGTGGCCAAGAAGGCCAAGGGCAGCCTGGCCTGCATCAGAAACAGTGTTGCAAGCAGGAGCAGAGAGGTGATTGTTCCCCTGTACTCAGCACTGGTGAGGCCGCACCTCGAGTGCTGTGTCCAGTTTTGGGCCCCTCACTGCAAGAAAGACATGGAGGGCCTGGAACGTGTTCAAAGGAGGGCAATGAAATGGTGAGGGGTCTGGAGCACAGGGCTGATGAGGAGAGGCTGAAGGAGCTGGGAACGTTCAGCATGGAGAAGAGGAGCTCAGGGGAGACCTCACTGCTCTCTATGGCTGCCTGAAGGGAGGCTGCAGGGAGCTGGGGGTCGGCCTCTGCTCTGTGTCATCAGGGATAGGAGCAGAGGGAACGGCTTCAAGCTACGGCAGGGGAGATTCAGGCTGGACATGAGGAAGAATTGCTGTTCAGAAAGGGTGGTCAGGCACTGGAATGGATGCCCAGGGAGGTGGAGGAGGCACCGAGCCTGGGGGTGTTGAAGGAAAGGCTGGATGCTGTGTTGAGGGACGTGGTTCAGTGGGAGCTGTTGGTAAGAGGTGAACGGTTGGACTGGGGGAGCTTTGAGGTCTTTTCCAACCTTGGGGATTCTATGATTCTATGAACCCCGATCAGAGGGGAAATAATCACGGGCACTGAGGAATCGCTCCTGGGCAGTGCTGGAGGTTTGGACGCAGCTGTTAACGGAACTGCTGTTCCTTTTTCTCATCCTTGTCCTTTTCAGGTGATGCCAGGACTTGTGAAAACGCCTTTTTATCTTTACATTTTTTTTAATTATTTTTCTACAGGTCTACCGAAATCGGAAGTGGAGGCCCATTTCCAGCGACGAGATCATCCCGGGGGATATCGTCTCCATTGGTAATGCTTCCCGTGATCCAAAGCTGTTTTAAAACTGTGCTCCTCCTGATTCGTGAAGTGGCACTGAGTGAAATCACACAGTGTAAAAATACCCAAATACCAAAAAATCCATCCTGGTTTTGGGCACTTTTGAGGGCTTTGGTTCATCGGTGCCGCAGCTGAGGGGTTCTAAGAGTTGATCTCTTCTTGTTGTCTTGAAGGAAGGTAGATCTCTAGATAAATCGTGGGGGAAGATGAAGAGTTTCCTTCCTGCTGACAGCATCTCCCTGGGAAGGAAGGGGGGAGGAATGGCAGGGCTCTGTCTCAGCTGTGCTTCCCTGTTAAAGGCTCTTTCCCCGTCTTTGGAGCATCAGTGGGAACGAAATGATTTGAATCGGGAACTTTTCCAGCCTCACCAGAGGCCAAATAACCTTCGGGGTTATTTGAGACACGGACTCAAGGGATAGAGTTGGCAGCCCAGGGGTGATTCAGACCTTTAGGAGCCTTCTGTATCTCAGCTAAACGGAAGGAGAGCTGTTCCCTTCCAGACAGCCACACGTCGCTTCTGCCTCTCAGCTCCTGAGTTTTATTGTCTTCGTGGCAGGCCGATCTCCTCACGAAAACCTCGTGCCGTGTGATGTGCTGCTGCTACGCGGGAGGTGCATTGTGGACGAAGCGATGCTGACCGGAGAGTCTGTGCCGCAGATGAAGGTCTGTGTGAAACAATTCTGTTTTGTCCTGCTTGGAAAATAGAAATATCGAAGGCGTTGCAGTCAGGTGCACGTTGTCAGTCTGTCTGCGTGAGTGCTGGCGTGAGCAGCCTGGCCTGCTTGTTTTCATCTCCCTGTCAGCGATGGATGATTTCTGGTAAATGAGAACTGGAGGCCTGCTTGGTCTGGCTGCGTCTCCAGTCTTGGAGGCAGAACTACAAAGGCATGGCGTTGTCCTCCCACGCATTCCCCTGTCTGAATTCTTCTGGTTGGGTGGAGGTGGGAGGAATAAAGCGTAAAGAACTTCAAAACCCTTCTTGGTGCACCGAGGGGGGGATGTAGAGATGATAAAGGAGCGATCTCAGAGCCTCCCTCGCTGAACTCGCTGTGCTGAGGGGGAACTGCATCTCCCACACTGGGATGTCTGGCTCCAAATCCAGAGCACGTGAATTCCTGGGTTCTCCTCGGGCTGCTTTTAGCTGGAGTGAAGCTGAGGGCGCCTCACGTGGGACGCGGAAAGAGAGGAGCGCTGCACGTTGACTTGTCAATAGCAGTGAACCTGAGAGCTGAGCATTGTCCTGCAGGAGCCCGTGGAGGACCTCAGCCCAGAGCACGTTTTGGACATGCAGACGGATGCCCGGCTGCACATCATATTTGGTGGAACGAAGGTGGTGC